CTTTAGTAATTCATTTGACTTATTAAATAATTTGAGTTTAACTTTTTACGCAGGTGAAAACCCTCTTTAATGTTATAAATGCTCCAGCTAAATATTTTTTAATATTCCTTTGTTTGGCGCCCATATTTCGATAACAACAATCAGATGGCAATCTTGTTTAAATTATTTTTAAACCAAAACCTCGTTAAACCTTTTTCGTCTGACACTTGTATTGTGATACATATTTAAGTTATCTAATACTCTTAATTCAAACTGAATTTAACTATAAAATCAGGTGGCAACCCTCCTACATGCAGTTTAGAAATAAAGTTTCTTCAAAGCAATTTTGATTTATATTCAAATTGAAGTAATTAATTTCACCTGTTGCTTATATTGTATCAAACTTTGTAACAAGGTGGCAACCCTCTGCAAAATATTTTCAAACCACAGCCTCTTTCGTCTGACATTCATATCAGCGTAACATTTCAATTTTCTGCCTTCATTTAAGTCAAACTGACTTTTTGAAACAGGTGGCAACCCTCCCACATATAGTTAAGAAATAAAGCTTTTTCGAAGCCATTTTGACTTGAATTTTCGCAAAATCTGCAATTATAAGTTGGTAGAGCACTTTAAGAGCCCAAAATTTATCCCAAAATATCCCAGTATTTACCGTTGTTTCTACGACAAAAACCGAATAAATCTATCGAAATGCTTGGAATTTAGTCTTTGAAACTTAACACTTTTCTTTAAAATCGCTTCATTAGTTCTCGTGCAATGAGCGTTTTCGTGAAGCTCGAAAAATTACAACTACAACATTTGAGCATAACCTACATATCGAAACGTAAGACGTACTCTACGTCAAAAACAAATCATCAAATGCACCCGAAACCAAACCTAGTATGGTGGAGTACAACATGAAAACAGGTTCCGTATAGCTCCTGAACCCTGAATTTAATTATTTTTTCAGACAACCGTTATGTTCCTACATGATGCACCTATCTATTGACAGCTTGCCTATTCTTCATCCGATTTTAAAAACGGAACATTTTTGATTTATAGACCTTTAAAATGATGTATAACAATTTATTGTTAGACTTAGTTTGTTGGGAGTTTTCATTGGGCAAAATTACAAAAACCTTTTTTCCTAAATTTTTTTACTTTGACTATCGCTTATATCGAAAATTTCTATAAAACTTACATATAATAAAATTGTAACAGACCGATGGGTGTACATTATAGATATAAAAGAAAAATTAATATGGTGGGTCTTTATCAGAGCAATAGATGCCAAATCAATAATTTTTAGAATTTTTGTATGTCTGTCTGTCTGTCTTTATACATTGGATCCCGTAGAGAAGGCTCTTAATGATGCGAAAATGGATAAGAGTCAGATTCACGACATTGTACTCGTTGGTGGTTCAACACGCATACCAAAGGTCCAAAGTTTACTTCAATCATTCTTTGGAGGTAAGAGTTTGAACCTTTCTATCAACCCAGACGAGGCTGTGGCTTATGGTGCAGCGATACAGGCAGCCATATTGAGCGGTGATAAGAGCAGCCAAATTCAAGATGTGCTTTTGGTGGACGTGGCACCATTGTCACTTGGAATTGAAACTGCTGGTGGAGTGATGACAAAACTTATAGAACGAAACAGTCGCATTCCATGCAAACAGTCAAAAACCTTTACAACTTATGCAGATAACCAACCCGCAGTCACCATCCAAGTGTTTGAGGGCGAACGTGCCATGACCAAAGATAATAATTTGTTGGGCACTTTCAACTTAACTGGAATTCCACCAGCACCGCGTGGTGTTCCCAAGGTAGATGTTACATTTGATTTGGACGCCAATGGCATTTTGAATGTGACTGCAAAGGAGATGAGCACCGGAAATGCGAAGAATATAGTCATAAAGAACGACAAAGGACGTCTATCTCAAGCAGACATCGATCGTATGGTTAATGAAGCTGAAAAATATGCGGAGGAAGACGAGAAACAGCGCCAACGTGTTGCTGCTCGCAATCAGCTTGAGAGTTATGTGTTTAATGTAAAGCAAGCAGCAGATGAAGCCGGCAGTAAACTAAGTCAGTCGGATAAAGATCATGTCCTCGAAAAGTGTAGCGAGACAATTAAATGGCTGGATGCCAATACCACTGCCGAAAAGGAGGAGTTCGAGTACAAATTGGAAGAGTTGACGAAGATCTGTAGTCCCATCATGACAAAAATGCACCAGCAGGCAGGCGCTGGCACACAGCCTAGTAATTGCGGCCAGCAATCTGGTAATTTTGGTGGAGGCAAATATGGTGGACCAACTGTGGAGGAAGTGGACTAAATATGCAATGTTTGTGTTAACAGTATTATTTATTCAATTTCGTCAAACAATTGATACTCATACATTTTAGAATAAGTTGCTTATGTTTTTAAAACTTTAGATATTAAATTAGTTTCATGGAAGTATTGAATAGTTTTGTGGAAGACTGAGCTTAATCCTTGAGTAATATGAATTCTAAGACATTTAATTTAACTATTTATACATATAATAAAGCCGGCTGGCTGCTTTCAAAATGTTTTAAACAAAAAAAAAAATATGTTTTTTATTCGTAATTTTTTTTCTTTCTACCAGCAAGGCCCATGATGCAATACTACGTTATGAGCAAGGCTTTCTATAGTGAATATCGATGACTGAGGGAGGGGTAGATAGACCCATGATCGTGGATCGACCTACATATCTCGGAAGCCAGCTCGAAAACGCCCTATCTCAGAAAACTTTTGAAAGGACGTGCTATTTTCGTTTGAGATAGGGCACCTCAACCGAATTCTGAGATAGGTTTATTATTCAACCAAATGCTGATAAGGTGTTTTTCAATAAAAATCTGAAATAGGGCGTTTTTCAATCAAATTCTGAAGTAGGGCTTTCTTGAAAAGTTTTGAGATAGGGCGCTTTTGAACTGGCTGCCGAGATATGTCGATCTTCCACTCAACCATCGATATCGTCACCTGAAATGCAAAAGGACGTGACTAATAAATGTGGAGAGTAGTAATGCATCAAAAGTTAATTTAATTTTCGTTTAATAATCGTTTTTCTGAAAACTCAGATCATTGCTTTTCATATCAAACTTTTAATCGGTCTTATGGGGGCTTCTTTCATATATGTATCCTTAAACGTTGCCCGATCAAGAATAGAAAATAATGACATTACAAAGTCAACCTAGAAACAAATTTCCCGTTGCTCATTTCCTTCAATAGTGTTACAACTCAAAGAAGCAAAACTCGACAAATGCGGCTTTAAATCTTTGAATTAACATACTTTGACTTCCATTGTAAGAATTAACTCATTTTTTGTTCTAGCGAGATACTGGTGATCTATGGCATTTTTACACAACATGGAAGAAGAATTAGAGGTAATTTCTGCACACCCAACTCAAAATTTATATTTTTTAGATTATGACTATTGAAGTAAATGAGCGATATGTACATACATGGTTGTTAATTTTAAATTCAATTCTTTAGTGAATAAGTAATATACCAATTTTAGAGCAGAGCTGAACTTTGAAAAAAATTTGGTGGCGCTTCTCAATCTACAAAAGTTCTTTGAAAATAAAATAATAAAAAATAATAATAACAAAATTGATTATAAAAGCAAACTATAGGTTGGATTAACTTTAAAATATTTCGTATGTTCGTTCGGGAGGTTATGTTGCGAACATTACTCTTTCTGCCGTTGAAAAAAAATCGATTTTTGGAAGCGATATTATAGTATTTTATTAAGAGGTATGGTGCTTAAAACTAAGGCTATTCAGAGCTTTGTTTCAAGTAGTAAAATGGGACAAATCAGATTTCTCAAATGAGTGTGATAAGAAATATGAAATTGGTAAATATTGTACTATGCTATTTTTGATACAAAAATGCGAGAACTTTAATAGCCTTTCTCGGATTCGCCAATATGCGTGTGCATAAATGTGTAACGATGGAAATCCAAACGGATTTACAGACAGCAAATGATTTTCTAGTGGAAGCCAGTTTAAGAAAAGTTCTATTTATCAAAAATATTTTACGTAATTTCCCTAATACTCTATTAATACGGTTTATTTAATAATTGTTGGTATGCAAGTTGCATGATCTGCCGTCTTTAATTTGTTGTATACGGATAAAATCTGGATATACGGTAATATCGACTCTTTTTATCCGTACATCCGGTGTTCTGTTTGAAATTCAAACACATTTTGGAAAATCCGGATAACCAAATAGACGGATATCAACGGGATCAAATTTATGAAATGTAGTAATTAAAAAAATGTTATCTACTACTGAAATACAGATAATAAGTGCACTTTAAAATAATAGTTTTTTTTTTGGGATGCCAAAAATGGATACTTCGGTTTTTTCCAAAATACTGCATTTATACTTTTTTCGATACCTAAATTTTTTAATACAAATAAGCAGTATAAATTGATCAGTCGATGATATGTAAAAACCGATATAAGATAACAGCGATGCCACGCCCCTTTTCTAAGATTGTATGGAAAATAAATTGTTTGCTTAAGAGGCATTGTATATATCAGTTTTTAGTAAATATTGATGGGCTCCTTAGCCACACTGCCCAAAATAGTGAACGCCGGGTACATACACACATATAAAATCAATATGCGCCTTAAAAGTAGTTTTGTGTTGTTTGATACCCGTATTGTAATATTTCATTGATTTTATCAAATTTATTAAGTACAATTTTTCAAACAGGTGGAAACCCTTCACACAAATATTTTCGGCAGTAAACTTTCCTTAACCTCTTTAGTTAGTAGATACCCATTAATATTTCAATATTTAATTTATCTTATCAGTTAAATTAAATTAAAATTTTCAAACATGTGGCAACATCCTCCAAAATATTTTCGGGTATAAACCTTCTTAAACCTCTTTCATTTGACACCCATACTGATATATTTACTTTATCTTATCAATTTATTTAAACTACAATTTTCAAACAGGTGGCAACTCGCAAAGTTTTTTCTTTCTATATTTTAAATTAGACCTCTAGCAATACATCGGTGAAGACTGCATTGAATTTCATGCATTATTTTTCGAGTGGTGCACGTACAAACAT